CCGGGGCGGCCGCCGGCTCCTTCTTGTCCCCGGGTGGCCTCGGGGCGGTGGGCGCGGGCTGGCCAGTGCCAAAGCGGGTGGCCAGGCTGTCGCCAAAGAAGGCGTAGAGTTCTCGATAGGTGTCCGCCAGGGTCACCGACTGGGAAGGCTCCTCCGGCCCCGCGCTCCCGGGTGGCAGCCGGAGGCCCACCCCAAAACCGGGCTCAGCCGTGGCACCCGAGGGCGGCTCCTGCAGGAGGAGGCTGTCCCAGGGCAGGTCGTCGGGGCAGCGACCCCCCCTGCCCGCCAGGCCGCCCCTGCTGGCCTCTGCAGCCTGGGCCTTCATCTTCAGCAGTCTCTCCACGGCCACCTGCAAGAGGGGCAGAAAGCGTCTGTAAGCGGTCCCCGCGGGGCCTGGGCCCACGGAGGGTGGGGGTGGGGGTGGCTGGCACTCACCAGAATGGCTCCATAGACTTTGTGCCCATCTGCCTTCACTTGGGCATTGGACACTGAGTAGTCGTCCAACACTGCCTGGAGGTTTGTCCAGTAGGTGGACAAATGCGGGTAGAGGACTCGTTCCACTGCCTGGAAGGGGGGGAAGGAAAGAATAGTGACCTCGCTGCCCCACAGACCTGAGCAGGATTTAGTCCTCCCTGGATACCCCGATTTCACCCCTAAGCCCCCAAGTCTGTCTGCAGGAAGCAACCACCACCCATCCATTTGGAAGGTACTGTGTCCAGTTGTCCCTGGGAGGCATACAGGGTTAAGCATTCAACTACCAACTGAGAGGCCAATTGTTTGAAAACCCCCTCCCCCATAGGCACCCCGGGCAGAAAGGCCTGGTGATCCTTTTCAAGAAACCCGCCATCAAAAACCCTACGGAGCACAGTCGTCCCTGCACCAGTCACCAGTGGGAATCATGCCAGCGCAACGTGGGCCTTTGCCAGAGGTAGGGCACAGACACAAGGGACTCACTCGGTGATGTGGAGGCCAAGGGCTAAGGGAGCACACACAGTGCCCGCCACCAACAGCCTGTAGCGAACTGCTACCCCATGCAGCCCAGAGGCCAGTGCAGTCCCCACGTAGCTGTGGACAGGAACACCGCCTACACTCAGCCCCTAAATCAGTAACTTTAATTCCTGTGATGAACTTAGGGGAGAACAATCACAGAGCTTACTCATCCCTGGCCCGGAAGGAGTGGTTCTGCAGGAAGCAAGGTTCTCAAAATCGAAAATGTAACTGCTGACTCAAAGAGAGGATAAACTACAAAAGGGAGACATGGTAACAGTAGCTACAAAGCTGCTGAAATAGAAGTGACAAGTCTAGCCCCAAAGGCAACAGTTGTTTCATGGGAGAACAGCAGCTCCACATTGAAAGTGCCGGTAGAGTAACCCTGCTACTGAAGCCAAACAAGGGTGGCACAGGAGAGAGACCACTTACAAATGATTGGCTTCACTTCTTTCAAAGCTTTCTGAAAACCCCAACCGCTTATTAAAAATACATTTATCCCAATAAAAGCCTCACTGCTTCTAAAAATAATACAGCAACAGAGCAAGTTGAATTTTTCCCACCAATGTAAAACAAGGTCCTCTTTCTACATAGGTGTGATTAACCATGTCAAATGAAAACCTCATAAATTCGAAAATTCATTTGCTAACTCAAATGAAGCAACCAAGGTGATAAATGTTCTTACTCTGCCAATGGCTCTCTAAACATGAGCCCTGGGAGGAGGGTCACCAGCACTTCTAAGATCGAAATGACACAATTATCCTGTTATCATTATATCCAAATAGACGTCACTGGCCCTCACTGGGGGTGGGGGGTAAGGCAGTAGCATCAGAGAAGAGGAAAAATAGACCTGTGTTTATCTGTATGTGTCCGGGTCATCTGTTAAAAACTCAAAAAAGCAAATATAATTTGCTAAGGAAGGTCGCAAAGTAGCTGGATCCAACACGATCCAAGAGCGTGACCAGGAGACACCGTTAGAACAGAATCGAAGAAGAGGAAGACTCCAGGAGGAAGGTTCTCCTGGGTAGGGAAGACACTACAGACCTAAAGAGAGAGAGAGGACGTCGTGATCATGACACCCGTTCTCTCCAAACCTGATCTAATAGAATCCCTATCATTCCAATTAAACTCTTAATGGCAGCGAGCAGAATGTACCCCAGATCTCCAAAGGGGGTGGTTCAGGGGCCAAGGCCAGATGTGTGGCGTGCTGTATTCACATGCACATCATCATCTGACTGCCTCACCCAAACTCAAATTGACTGCCAGCTCATCAATTGAACTCTCAGATAATCTTTACAAACAGCAAAAAAGCTTCAGGAACCGATTGATTACAAGGATCTACATATAACCTCCTCCCTGGGGGATGGACAACAGAAAAGTGGGTGAAGGGAGACGTCAGACAGGGCAGGATATGACAAAATAATAATTTATAAATTATCAAGGGCTC